CCTTCTCCTCGCCCTCCTCCCTCCAGGGTTCGCATGCCTCCCCGCCACCCATTTCGGCACACCCCTCACACGTTTTCGTGGCCCCAAAGGTCCCCAGCGTTCGCATGCCTCCCCACCACCCATTTCGGCACACCCCTCACACGTTTCGTGGCCCCATAGGGAGCTCCACCGAAGGCCCCAGTGGCTGCGTTCGCATGCCTCCCCACCACCCATTTCGGCACACCCCTCACACGTTTCGTGGCCCCATAGGGAGCTCCACCGAAGGCCCCAGTGGCTCGCATGCCTCCCCACCACCCATTTCGGCACACCCCTCACACGTTTCGTGGCCCCATAGGGAGCTCCACCGAAGGCCCCAGTGGCTGCGTTCGCATGCCTTCGGCACACCCCTCACACGTTTCGTGGCCCCATAGGGAGCTCCACCGAAGGCCCCAGTGGCTGCGTTCGCATGCCTCCCCACCACCCATTTCGGCACACCCCTCACACGTTTCGTGGCCCCATAGGGAGCTCCACCGAAGGCCCCAGTGGCTGCGTTCGCATGCCTCCCCACCACCCATTTCGGCACACCCCTCACACGTTTCGTGGCCCCATAGGGAGCTCCACCGAAGGCCCCAGTGGCTGCGTTCGCATGCCTCCCCACCACCCATTTCGGCACACCCCTCACACGTTTCGTGGCCCCATAGGGAGCTCCACCGAAGGCCCCAGTGGCTGCGTTCGCATGCCTCCCCACCACCCATTTCGGCACACCCCTCACACGTTTCGTGGCCCCATAGGGAGCTCCACCGAAGGCCCCAGTGGCTGCGTCGGCACACCCCTTTCGTGGCCCCATAGGGAGCTCCACCGAAGGCCCCAGTGGCTGCGTTCGCATGCCTCCCCACCACCCATTTCGGCACACCCCTTCACACGTTTCGTGGCCCCATAGGGAGCTCCACCGAAGGCCCCAGTGGCTGCGTTCGCATGCCCTCCCACCACCCATTTCGGCACACCCCTCACACGTTTCGTGGCCCCACAGGGAGCTCCACCGAAGGCCCCAGTGGCTGCGTTCGCATGCCGCTTCCACACCCACTTCGGTGCACCCCTCACACGTTTCGCGGCCCCATAAGGAGCTCCACCGACGGCCCCAGTGGCAACGTTCGCATGCCGCCCCCACACCCATTTCGGCACACCCCTCAAACGGTTCGTGGCCCCATAGGAAGATCCACCGAAGACGGTATTCACACCAGCATTACTCACACTTGCACATGGTTGGGTCCTTCGCCATGCTATTTTTTTTTTTTGGGGGGGGGGGCTTCTTGGAGGCCTCTTGGGCGCTTGTTGGGGCCTCCTGGGGCCTGCTGGGCGCCTCTTGGGGCCTTGTCGAAGCGCTCTCGGGGGCCTAGGGGGCGCTCCTGGGCCATCTTGGAGGACGTCGGTCAAGCGAGAGAAGCGAGAGGGGGGCATGAATTTGCGCTGCCCCATCGGGGGCCCAGGGTCGCCTCTTGGGGCGCTCGGGGCGCTTTTGGTGCGCTCTCGGGCGCTCGAGCTTCTCCTGGAGCATTCATGGGCCATCTTGGAGCCATCTTGAGGCCTCGGATGGCCGTCGGAAGCGAACGGGCGAGTAAGCCATCAACATTGATTCTCCAAAGAGGTTTTGGAGCTCCTGGGGGGCTTCTCTGGCAGCGCGGGGCCGTCTTGGAGCGGTCTCGGAGCGTCGCGGGGGCCATCTCGAGGCAATCTTGAGCGGGGCGGCCTCGGCGAGGAAACCAAAATCATTGGTCCCACTAAGGTTTCGGTTCCACGTTGGCCTCCTGGGGGGCACAAAGGCCCCCCCCCCCGTCTTTGATCGATCTCCTCCGAGATGGCCCCGAGGGCGCCCCTGGGCCCCACGCGGGCGCCCCGAGAGGGCCCCGAGAGGTGGCCAGGAGGCCCCGGGAGGCTCCTGCGAGACCCCCAGGAAGCCCCACGAGGCCCCCCAGAGGCAACGAGAGGGAGGGGTGGAAGAGGAAACGCCCTAAACCACCTACGCCTTGCAGGGCTGGTGGGATTCGCGCCCGGAGCGCCTTATGCTTGAATTTTGTCGTTGCGAGCATCGCAGGATTGGTGATCGCGCCAATTGCTGTTGTGGCGAAATATAGGTATGCGCCACGCAGAGAAGAAGGTATGACCACAGACGCAGGGGAATTAAACAAACTCAGTGACATTCTGACATTTCAGGTCCTCCATTCCGCGTGCCGGGGGATCTCGCTGGCAATTCGCGAGTGAATCTGCGTGCCAGTGAACGGGGGATCGCAGGTCTTTGAGGCGCCTGAGGGGAGTTAGAACCCGTTAAGGTATGTGTTCTGGAATTTCCAGAGACTGCGACCGCGCGGTTCTGAGGAAGCGAGGGGCAGTTTGCATAGAATGACCTTCGGCTTGTCAGTGTTGGAGGGCTCGCGAGTGCGAACTTTTTCCATGCGTCTTAATTTCCCCCGTGTAGATTGCACGGACGCGCGTGCAGGCTGAAAGATATGCAAGGACACGCCATGAAGACGCCCAGCTGCGTCCATATATACTTTAGTCGCGAATGGACCGCGCAGATGTTGCCATGGAACATGCGACCATAATTCAGTCAGGGGAATAAATGTCAGCAGTCGGGAAGCTATGCTGATGCCCATGCAAAACACATGCATGCTGTTCTTGCGCGTGCTTCGCAGATGTACTGCAGTGTGTTTCCGTGCTCGCGACATGCGCGCGCTGCCGCCGCCGTTTCGGCCCTTGCAGTCGCGGCGACTGCTGGCCCGCAAACTTGGCCGCCACCCGGGCGGCCGTTGCTCCCTCGTTCCTGCTGCTTCGCTGGGCCGTCCCTCGCCGGTGCTATGACTTCTGCCTTGTTTGAGAGAGCGTCTGCGCTCGGCGAACATGTTAAGTCTACGCGCGCGGCCCCTGCTCGACGGGGGCCATCGCAGCGCGCCGCCCGACGTAAGAGAGGGTCCGTCGATCCTGAGAAGGAGCAGACAGGAGAGACTGAATCGGTTTCCGTGGTCGACTCTTGCTTACTCACCCAGTGCCGACTCGAAAGGCACGGGCAATAATGCGTTGCATTGCGTTGCTGGCTCGGCCGGGGATGCAGCCGACAGGTTCATTGCACATCCTTCCCTCAGAGTTATCTCGGCCGGCGCCGTTGGAGGCGTCGACGCGGCAGATGTTCTCGCGGGGGGGGCCCGACCGACGGCGCTGGACAGAGTGCGGAGAAGAGTGGGGCGCCGACAGAAGGATCCGCCGATGGCCCCCGGCAGCCTGCTGGTTGCGGGGGGGCCCTGAATCCTTCCGCGACTGGCTCAGACGCCATTGTTGATGACATCGGGGGGGCCGATGCCGTGAATGCACCTTGCTCCGTAGAGTGGGCACTTGCCAGTGTATAGATTCAGAGGTTGTATGCCGAAGGGACGAACCTAGACATCCCCATTCTCAGCGCTCTCCTTCTCGACGAGAAGCGCCGGGACATCGCTGCGACTGCTGAGGCGAATGGCCGCGCTTGAGCACCTTCGCAGGAGAGGGCCTTTGCGCGATTTGCAATTCAGGCAGAGAGCAGGGCCAACTCGCGCGCCCGATGAAAGAGACGGCGTTGAGTGCCAATTCAGGGGCCAGGCGCCGGCATGGAGATGTGGATTGTCTGATTGATGGCGATTTTACTACGTCGTTCCACAGGGCCGAATCCAAATCAAAGAAGGAACCCGAAGTGAGCAATCTTTCTAGGGGGAATGACGCGCGGGTGCTTGCAAGTGACCACCAGCGCCACGACGGGTCATTCAATTAGAAAACAGCTGCAGATGGCATGGCTCAGTCAACAAGCATCCATATTCCGATGTGCTTGAATGCCATAGCATCGCCCATGTTTTTTGGAACTTGAACGACGTGTCTGATGGCAGCGCGGGCCTGCTTGCCGGCGCGAAGACGAGCGATGGAGCTCTACTCGCCAGAGGAGTGCCGCATGCACTGGCGGGCGCGACCTCGTCGTTGGTGGAGCAGCTGCCCGCGCGCCACTTAACGTCGCGCATGTTTTTCACACTGGCGGTGACAATGAGCGTTGGAAGTCCGGGGGCGGAGACTTCGATCCCGGTCTTCTGTGGATTGACATGTCCATGTTGGTCTGCAATGAATTGAACGGACGGATCGAACTATGCCAGGTCGCCTGCATATATCCGCAGATCGTAATCCTGGGCGGCGAAGCGCTGCATGGGAAGTTGAAGCGCCCGTCCAAAGACAATTCTCATTTCGGCGAAAGTGATGATTCTTACGTCGGCGAAAAATGCAGTCGAATGAAGGCCTCCGAAATGTTCGCAGAACGCATGGCGAAGACGAGTGGGCTTTCGGCTTCCTTCTATGCGCAGCCTTGCGGTGGCTTAGTCATTAGAGTTGGTTGATTACGGGTGGGGCTGTGGAGCGAGGCGATCCGGCGCCGACGGCAGCCGTGCTGGGTGAATTAGATTACGCGGCGCTGGGGGGCGCGCCTGCTTCCGCCCTCGGCGCCAAGCATTCCAATAAACCTCTGGCGAGACAAGAGTTCCCTTGCGCCCCTGGCTGGCTTTGCTTTCGGAACGGCGTCGGAGCAGACAGACCGCGGGTTCCGTATCGGAAGGGGCAGTTTTATTTACTGCCGCGACGTGGCCCGGCATTCGCGGTGAACGCGCCCCCCGCCAGTGTAGCGCGCGCCGCGTGTCAGAGCGAGGTGGCCGCGAGATATGCGGTTGCCGAATTCGACTGGAACATCGCGGATTGTCTTCGCCCGATCTTTTCAATCAGCTGCGGCGCGTGGGCTTGATCCGGTGCCGTTCCAAGGGGCAATGGTCGTCGATGGTCCCATTGGCCCAATAGTCGCGCGCAGTCTCAGCTCTCGGAGTATCGGCTTTTTCGGGGGGCCGGACTGACCTGGCAGAGTGCGAAGACTCCGACGCCTGAGGCGGACTACATGATTCCGCTTTGGGCAGGATTGCTTCCCCTCGAGAGAGAGATCGCACGTCCTTGCGCGATGCTGCATCCCGCAGTTTAGTCTGGCCCGCTGCTGCGCTGAAGCAGTTCACGGACAAGTGCTGTTGCGCGAAGCTGACGGTCCCATGTCTGGCCGACCCTGCTAAGAGGGATGAAATCAGGCCACGCTGCTAGTCTCGTTGCGCACGCGGGGCGCCCATCCTGAATCTTGGGGCGATCATCGAGGGTCGCCTGCCGTTGCCGTGAAATCCCAATTTCGGCGGTGGGGTCAAGCAGCAAAATGGCGGGGTCTACAGTTTCCGTGGGAATCCCCAACTCTCCCGCGCGACATTTGCATAGCTCGACGGCAAAAGGGAGTCTTCGCGGATGGAACCTGGCGGGCGGCGGCGATCATCTTCGCCGGCCCCGGTGGGAATGCGAAAACAATCAAAAAAGCATAGGGGCGAAGCCGCGCAAGTTCCGCGAAGATCCCGCGCAGACTGCGTTGATGGAGGTCCATTTGTACGCGTGGACTCCTGCTGCGCTCCGCGCCCCCGGAGGGGCCCGGGCGTTGTTGCGACGCGGAAGTCACCCGGGGAAGCAATGGGGACCGATTTCAAGATCGTATATGAGCGGAGACAGGAAGAGCGTGACATATTTTGCGCTGCGCAGGCCGCGTGGGCGCCTGATCATAGCCCGTCATTGAACGCGCCGAGTTTCGAACGTTCCCACCATGTTGACCCGCTCCCAAAGAATGATAACACTTGGAAGTTGTTATTTCAAAGGAAATATGCCGTTGCGAGGCTCCATCCTCGCATTGCAGACAATCCGCCGGCGGCAGTCACGGGCGTTCGCAACTTGTCTCGTTTAATGGCCAACGAGAAAAATATTACCGAATTGGGCACGGCAGCCCCGGCGCGAGAACGATGGTCGGACTATGCAACTGCGTCCGCGGAGAAAGAGCGTGACTTCGATGCGTCCAACGCCGAGCCCGTGGCTTCTGGCTCAGCCGGCGGACAGGGGGGTGGAATGGAGAGGAGCAACACGCAGCAGATGCTGCGCAATGGTGCGCTTGCAGAGGCAGTAGCAAAGCCAAGCGCTGATGCGCAGAGAACGCTGCAACAGGCTCGGGAAAGGCAAGATGAGGCAGAGGCTCGTGAGAAAGAGGCCGGTGCCAGATGCCGAGCGGCCGAGGCAATTGCAGGGGGGGCTGAGGCGATGCAGCGAGAAGCCGATGAAAGCTGCGCCAAGGCTTCGGAAAAGGAGCGAGAGGTCAATGCCGTAAGGAGACTGTTTCTGACGTGGTGTCGTCCAGTCCAAAGGCAACTGCTACCTGCTCAGCCGGCGGCGTTGCGCCATCCCCGATTCGCGGGGCATCGGGCGATGTTCGTGCGACTGACGTCGAGAGGGAGGTTACCCCTAGACCGTCTCCTTCAACGGACCGCGGCACTCCTGGGCAGGCGAGGGGGCCGGCGACTCCCGACGCGCCGCAAACTCAGGTACCGGCGGTCGACTTGAGGGACAGGTGGGGCAATAATCCGAAGGCGCCCGCCGCGCTTGGTCCTGCCTTGAGGATTCCTGCGGATGTCTTGCCTGTGCAGTTTCCTTGGCAGCTGCTTGCTGATCGTTCCGTGATTGCAATGTCTAACATGGTTTATTTTATACTTCGGGCTGAAGCGAACGACCAGATGGTGACCGAGCTTTTCGCGAATTCGTTTGCTGTACTTAAGCAACAGTCCGAGACGTTTGTCAATGAAAGAAACCAGCGGGACCTTAGCATGGTCCAAACATATTTGACCAACGCTGCCCTGCGCGAAAAATATTGCATCTTCGAACAAAAAGTGACATTGAGCCTTCGGTCATGTCGCCAGGACGGGATGACTTTCATGCCCTATAGTTCCCGGGACTCCAGGGACGTGGATATGGGCGCTTCCGATGCGGGAGGACATCCGTCTGATGCGAGTGTGGACTCGGGCGGCGCTGCCAGTTCAACTGGGGGTGTTCAGCCTGCGGCGATTCGAGGTCCGATCCCGACTGGAGGTTCGCAGCTCTCGCAGCCAGGGCTTGGACCAGTGGGGGCGTCGGCCACCGCCCTCACTGGCGCCCCATTCGGACATCCACCAGGGTCTCACAGGCAGGGCCCTTGGCACAGTGGGGGGGCGCTCACGGCGTCGTGGTGGCCCCGCACCCCTGGCGGGGTGCGGGGCCCATTTCGGGGCTCAGGAGACGGTGGTCAATCCAAACGGGGGTCATTCAGAACGCCGGATCTTGCAGGATCCTGCAGGGCCAGGGCTGCATTGACACGGGCTTTGGTGCAGGATCCGGCAGGATGTTGCAGGATCCTGCCACGCCTGACTAGCCCGGGGCTGGATTGACCCGGGTCAGTAGATCCCCGACCAGCGCCGCGCGGGCCAGCGATGATGCCCGTCCGGGCGGCGCAGCGCCCGTCGGTGCTCGAATTGATGAGCAAGAGATCTGCGCCTGCGGCGGGCTTTGGGGCCCCATGACTTGTAGGGCTGAGTATGCACAATTCGGGGCCTGCGGCGCGTTGTGGTTATGCTATGGCCATTCTGACGCAGCCTGGAGCTGAAGACGAGAGTCAGAGGACGGAAGCGGGAATTCGACGACAGGTGTTCAGCGACCCTAAAATGTAGTTCGCAAGATTTGATCTCACTGAAAGCCGGGCGTTGTTTGGAGGTTGCCAGTGCAGTCAGAGCCAGCCTTAGCCTTCAGGATGATCCTCTGAAGAACGGGATCCATGCGTGCAGTTCCAGTTGCCTCGTGCATCCTGGGCGCTTTCCATCTCGGCGAGGTCTAGTTTGTTTCAATCCGCATTGGTGTGCGAAGGGGTGGAATTGTCCATGGCGCTGTGCGCACACAGGCACTTGAACTGGCTCCAGTTTTCTTGATCCTCTCGCCCTCCTCCTGCTGCTGCGCTCGCCTCCTCTTGTGCCTCCTCGTCTCGCGGCTTGCTGGGATTTAGTACGCAAGTGACCGTCGACTCTGCATTCTGGCGGCCGTCATGCTATCCTCTGTCTCACGCTGTAGCGCAGCTTCGCTGTCGAGTATTGCAGAGTTTGAGGTCGAGGCGGTCGTTGGCTTGATGTAAGAAAACTTGCATTCTTATGATTGGTTTTGGCTTCACCACGAGATCCGACGTTGCGAAACAAATGCAACACAACGAAAAATCACGGCTGGAGCCCTGGACCCAATCATTCTGCGGCGTTTTCCGAGCCGGATCGATCCGTGATGGCCCCGGGGCCCGAGCCCGGGCGGAAGCGCCCGGATCTCAGGGCTGCTCCATCCCCACGGCGGGTTCTGACGGTCGCCCTCGCTTGCCTCAGGCCGTTGCCGCCTGCGCCCGCGGGGCCGCGGCCGCGCGTGCGGCGTGGGCGGACCCGGAGGCCGACGCGGAGCGCGGGCAGCTGCTCCTGGCTCTGCTGGCGCTGCTGGACGACCTCGCCGCCGCCGACGCCTCGCTGCTCTGCGGCAGCTTCGCCCAGCCCGTGGCCAGCGGCCCCTGCAGGTGCGTCGAAGAAGGACGCGGAGATGACGATGACGATGCCGATGACGATGACGATGGCGATGGCGATGACGATGACGATGACCTGCTCGCGTCGTGAGGAAGTTGGGGCCCCGGGGGTGCTTCGTCCTTTTGGGTCTCTGAGGGGCCCTTTACGCGGGGCCCCGGGGGTGTCAACAAGACGGCTCAGGACGAAGAGCCGGTCCCGGGGAAGGGTCCGGACTTCTGGGCCCCCCCGTGCTAAAAAAAGTCATGTCCCATGTCTGGGAACACGGCGTAGACACACAGCCAAGGCGCTGAAGCAATGACCCCTTTGGGTTCGGAAGGGGCTCGCTGTTCCCTATAGGGCATTCCGTGGTTGTTCCTCTGACCTCCCTCGTGCACCCAGGCTTTTTTCGTTCCAAACAAAGGGACTTCGTTCCTCACCCAGCGCTCCTTATTTTCAGCAGCCCGGCTATACACTTTTGATGCTCCGCGCGGGTTTCTCGGATCGGCGCTGGAACCCCTGGTGGCGCCTCCAGCGCCGTCCTTGGCGCGCTTCACGCGCCAGGGAGGGTCCAGCACAGATCCGGGGCACGCTGCGACCTCTTGCGCGAACCCTACCCCTGCGGGCCCACTCGACGCAGGGGCACCCGACACGCCCGTTGGGACTCACTTAGCTGCAGACGCCCCTGAGTCTCGGCCAGTGTTCCAGAAGTCCTTGAACCACACCTTGTGTCTTGAGTTATGTCTGGATCACAGAAGGAAGCATTTGTTTTCGGGCCTTTTGGCAAGTTCACCGCCTCCAAGAGGTATCCTGTGACAGACGCATCGTGCCTTGGAAAAGATGTCGTCGCACAGAGGGTACATGGATCATTTTGGTGAAAAAGGGTTATGTAGGCTTCATATGCGGCTGCCTATAGGTACGCAACGGTGTGGTCGCTTTTGTCGGACCTGGTGCCCAGCGTCTGCGCGAAGTGGGCCCCGCGTGCAGGGACGGGCGCCGACGCCGACCGCGCGGGCGCCGACGCTGGCCGCGCGCTAGAGCCCCTGCTGGCGCTGTCCGCGGTCCTGAGGCTCGCGCAGCGGGGGTGCCAGGAGAGCGCGAGGATGCGGGCGGAGGCGCCCGAGGTCAGCACCGTCTAACAGATCCCCATTTCCACTGGGCTGGGCGTTTTATTTTTCGATCTCGGGCGTTGTCCTCGATCTCGGTCTCTGGGGCCAGTCATCGAGCCCCAGTGCCATCAAAAATGGATCTGGGACGACAAAATACCCCCAGGGAAGGGGTCGGGACCTCTTGAATCCACACATCGAAACATCGTACCGTCGGATGTCCTGGACCTCAGCATCGTTCAACCGATCCCCATTCCCACTGGGCCATGGGTATCTTGGCCCCACCAGCTCGCCCTCCCAGGTGGGGGTAGGCCTCGCGAGGCCCTAAGAAACAGGCACATGCCGCCACCTGGGTTCCCATGTGGGCCAGTCTGCCAGTGGGGCCAAGGCCACGCCAGTTGGGATAGGGATCGGTGAAACGGCGCTCACGAGGCCCACACGGCGCTCCTGGAGCTGCTGGGCGTGCTGCTGGGCCCCGGGGGGATCGGGCTCGTGCTCCCGAGCGCGCTGGCGCTCGAGCAGGGAACCGGCGCTACCGCCCGCGGCGCGGACCTCGGCGGCGGCGTCCAGCACCCCTTCGGCCGCAGGGCCGCGGAGGCGGCGGACGAGGGCGGCGCCAGCAGCGTGGAGGGCCTCCTCGCGCAGCCCGAAGAACAGAACACAGCAGAAGCACAGACTTTCGGAGACCCGCGCGGATTTCTCGGATCGGCGCTGGGCCCCCCTGGCGGCGCCTCGTGTACCGCCCCTGGCGCGCTCGGGGCTCCAGCGCTGATCCGAGAAATTCGCGCGGAGCTCCGAAAGCGTATGCTGCGTGCTCTTGCTGGTTTTTGTTCCTCCAGCAGCACCGCCTGTGCTCCAAGCTGCTCGGCCCCGGGCGGGGCACCGTGCCCAGCCGGGCGGAGGACTCGGGGCCCCCCAGACGGTGTTGTGAGCACACCGCGTGGTGAGTCGGTGGTGGGGGAACCAAAAGGTACTGATACCACTACCCCGCGGACCTCTCCCGGGGGGCGTTCTGACCAGAATCTCGAGGCGAATCCAGCGGTGGCGACGAGTGCCTCCCAGGATGCCAACAAAGAGGAGAACGGCCGAAGGGTAGAGGCATGGTGCCTCTTCCTCCTCCGAGGTGGGGGTTCGGAGTCACTGCACGGCGTTGGGACTCGGGCCGCTCTCCGAGGACGCTTCCGGCAACTGGGGCCTCCGAGGCCCCCCCAAGTGCGTGCGGTGAGGTCCTCGGAAACTTCGAGGTTACCGCGCGGTCTGCCGCCGCACCGCTTCGGTCGGCTACACGCAAGAGTGGCCATTCGCCGGAGTGACCTTCGGTGCGGGCCCCATGGGGCCCCCCGATCGTTGAATGCGATGCGACAGCAGCGCTTTGCGCGCCTTGTGGTGTCCCCAGAGGGCCCCCCTTTGCCGCGCATGAGAGGCCACTCTTGCCCAGGGTCACTCTTGCGAGGAGCCGATTCGGGCCGCACAGAGGACCCCGAGGACCCCGATCCCCGTGGGCCGCTGGCGCGGCTGCGCGGCCGGGAGGAGCTGTGCGAGATCGCCTGCGGGCGCGGCGCCGGCCCCGGCGTGGTGGATGCCGCCGCGGCGCGCGGGCTGCTGAGGGACGCGCTGCCGCAGGGGAGGCTCGGCTGCTTCGGAGGCTTCGACGGCGCGACGGCGCTTCACTCCGGCTCCTTGGCCATGGACGCCGGAGGTGGAACACACACAGCGGCTGCTCTGTACTCTGGGGATCTCGCTCTGGGGATGCACGGAGCTTGTCCTGCTTGTCCCCCGGCACTCGCCCGTGGGTGCTCTGGGACCACCACACGGTCAGGATGCGGAAATCAAGTTTTTAGCTGTTGTAGCGGACGGCGGGGCGCTAAACATCAAAACGAAAGGCTGATGCTTGCGCTTAAGCTTCCACTTTGGATTCCGCGTGCGAGGCGAGAAAGCATGTTTGTTTTGCATTGCAGCTTTGCCGTTCTAGCTTCAGCTTTGGATTCCGCGTGCGAGGCGAGAGCGGTTTAGGGGAGGTCCAGGGAGGCCAACGACCATGATCAGAATTACAGTTGTTGTTGCATTGCAGTTTTTGTTTGCATTGCATTTTTGCACAGTTTTTTGTATTGCATATTCTTTGTTTGTATTGCAGCTTTGCCGTTCTAGCTTCAGCTTTGCATTCCGCGTGCGAGGTGGTAGCGGTTTGGGGAGGTCCAGGGAGGGTCTGAAGCCCACGGCGCCAACGACCATGATCAGAATTACAGGTTTCTTTGCATTGCAATTTTTGTTGCATTGCATGTTTTTTGCATTTCATAGTTTTTGTTTGCATGGCAGCTTTGCCGTTCTAGCTTCAGCTTTGGATTCCGCGTGCGAGGCGAGAGCGGTTTGGGGAGGTTCAGGGAGAGTCATAAGCCCACGGCGCCAACGACCATGATCGTACTTACATTTTTGTTAGCATTGCAGTTTTCGTTGCATTGCATTTCTTTTTTTTGATTGTAGTTTGTTTGGCATTGGAGTTTTTTTTGCATGGCAGCTTTGCGGTTCTAGTTTCAGCTTTGGATTCCGCGCGCGAGGCGAGAGCGGTTTGGGGAGGTCCAGGGAGGGTCTGAAGCCCACGGCGCGAACGACCATGATCAGAAGTACAGTTGTTTTTGCATTGCAGTTTTTTTCTAAATTGCATTTGGCATTTCAGTTTTTTTTGCATTGCAGTTTCTGTTTCATTGCAGCTTTGTCGTTCTAGCTTTAGCTTTGGATTCCGCGAGAGCGGCTTGGGGAGGTCCAGGGAGGATGTGAACCCCACGGCGCGAACGACCATGATCAGAATCATAAAGTTCTTAGCCGTTGTAGCGCACGGCGGAACGCCAAACATCAACACGAAAGGCTGAAGCTTGAGCTTAAGCTCCCACTTTGGATTCCGCGTGCGAGGCGATGCCGGTTTGGGGAGGTCCAGGGAGGGTCTGAAGGCCACAGCGCCAACGACCATGATCAAAATTACAGTTTTTTTGCATTGCAGTTTTGTTTCCATTGCATATTTTTTGTGTTTGCATGGCAGCATTGCCGTTCTAGCTTAAGCTTTGGATTCGGCTCGCGAGGCGGGAGCGGTTTGGGGAGGCCCAGGGAGGGTCTGAGGCCCACGGCGCCAACGACCATGATCATACTTACAGTTTGTTTTGCATCGCAGTTGTTTTTTTGCGTTGCATTTTGTTTTGCATTGCAGTTTGTTTGGCATTTGAGTTTTTTCTGCATGGCAGCTTCGCCGTTCTAGCTTCAGCTTTGGATTCCGCGCGCGAGGCGAGAGCCGTTTTGGGAGGTCCAGGGGTGGTCTGACGCCCACGGCGCGAACGACCATGATCAGAATTACAGTTGTTTTGCATTGTTTTTTTTTGCATTGCAGCTTTGCCGTTCTAGTTTCAGCTTTGGATTCCGCGTGCGAGCGAGAGCGGTTTGGGGAGGTTCAGGGAGGGTCTGAAGCCTACGGCGCCGACCACCATGATCAGAATTACAGTTGTTTGTGCACTGCAGTTGTTTTTTGCATTGCATTTCTTTTTTTGGATTGTAGTTTGTTTGGCATTGGAGTTTTTTTTGCATGGCAGCTTTGCGGTTCTAGTTTCAGCTTTGGATTCCGCGCGCGAGGCGAGACCGGCCGGTTTGGGGAGGTCCAGGGAGTGTCTGAAGCCCACGGCGCGAACGACATTGATTAGAATTACAGCTTTTTTGCATTGCACTTGTTGTTCTGCATGGCATTTTTTGGCAGTTTTTTGCACTGCACTTTCTTTTGTATTGCAGCTTCGCCGTTCTAGTTTTAGCTTTGGATTCCGCGTGCGAGGCGAGAGCGGTTTTGGGAGGTTCAGGGAGGCTTTGAAGCCCATGGCGCCAACCACCATGATCATACTTCCAGTTGTTTGAATTGCATTTTTTTGCATTGCAGCTTTGCCGTTCTAGCTCTAACTTTAGATTTCGCGTGCGAGGCGAGAGCGGTTTGGGGAGGTCCACTGAGGGTCTGACGCCCACGGCGCCAACCACCATGATCAGAATTATACGTTTTTGCTGCATTGTATTTTTTTGTACTACATATTGTTTTGCTTTTCATGTTTGTTGCGTTTCATTGCAATTGTTTGCCTTGCAGTTTGTGTTGCGTAGCAGATTTGCCCTTCTAGCTTCACCTTTAATTCCGCGTGCGTGACGAGAGCGGTTCGGGGGGCTCTTGGAGCCGTCTTGGGGCCATCTTGAGCCCACAAGAGCCCATCGGAAGCGAAAAGGCGAGAAAGCAAACATCATTGATTTTGTTCAATCGCGCCGCTCATTCCGCCAGCCCGTATTGTGCCATCGCTGGCGTTTGGGGGCCTCTTTGGGGCCTCCCGGGGCCTCTTGGGGGCCTCTTGGGGTTCTCTTGGGGCCTTTTGGGAACCTCTTGGAGCCTCTTGTGGGTCTCTTTGGGGCTTCTTGGAACCTCCTGGGCGCCTCTTGGGGCCGAGGGCTCGAATTGTCCGTTCGGGTTCCCCGTCTGGGCCCCCTCTTGGGGCCGTCCGGGGGCCATTTTGGGCCGTCTGGGAGGCCTCTTGGGCAGTCGTGAGGCCTTCTTGGACTGTCTTGGGGCCCTCTTGGAGGCCTCTTCGGCCGTCTTGGGACCTCCTTGGCTGTCTTTCAGCGTCTGGAAACCGAACAGGTGAGAACGCCCAAATCCTTCAAAAGCCGAAATGAAGTCGATGAATGTTGCTTCCTGGGGCCCTCTTGATAACTCTTCTTGGGGACCTCTTTGGGCGTCTTGGAGGCGTCTGCGGCTGTCTGGAGGCTATCTTGGGCGTCTTTGACCGATCGGTCGGCGACCTGGAAGCCCTCTTGGACCATCTTAGGGGCCTCTTGCGGGACCTTGCTGGGGTACTTTATCGTCTGGGGACTTCTAGAGGCCGGCCCGCGTGCGCGAACTAGAAATATCGTTTACCAATTACCAGAGATTTTAGCACGCCTCTGGCCCGTTGGGCCGGCGAATTAAGGTTTTAGGAGGGTTTCGGCCTTTTGGAGGCCATCTTGAAGCCATCTGGGGCCCTTCTTGGGCCTCTCTTAGGCCATCTTCGAGGCCATCGACCAACAATGAAGGCAGCGTTAATTTGGATCCCCCCGTCGGAACCCTCAAAATCGCCTCTTGGAGCTCTCGTGGTACGCTCTTGGGGCGGTCTTGTGCGCTCTTGGGGCCGTCTTGGGCCTCTCTTGGACCCCTCTTGGGGATCTCAGGGTCCATCCCGGAGTCATCTCGACGCTTCAGAAGCCCATCGGAAGCGAAAAGGCGAGAAGGCAAACAAAAACATTGATTTCTATTAGCTTTTGGACGGTTGTTTGCATCTCCAGGGCGTCCTTGGGAGGCCCTTTGGCCACTTAGAGAAGTCTTGGAGGGATCTTGAAACCTTTTGGAGGTCTGTTGCAAGCTATATTTGGCCATGTTGGGCTATCTTCAGCGATCCTGGAGGCCATCTTTAGCTCTTTGGGGCCTTCTTGGAGCCATCTTGGGCCATCTTGGACTGACCGCTCGCGAAAGGCCCCGTCCAGGTCCATGGGGAGAGGGTACCGACAAGCTAGGTGCGCTCGCGTCATATCTGACGTCCTACCCCTCCCATCCCTTACCATGGCGTAGATCTCCTCTCTATTCGCACAGTCGGATGTCGTAGCATGGCATAGAATTACATGGCATAGCATGGTGTTGAAGACCATCGCGTAGCATGACATAGCATGGCGTGTCGACGCCCCGAAGTGGGGGCGGGCTTCTGCGGCCCCAGAAATCAACGAATCGACACCGAATGTGTAATCACTTCCGATGGGTGTTTCAGGGGGCCATATCCTAGATTTTGGGGCCTATTTGGAAGGACCGAAAACCATGTCGTGTCATGGCGCTGGAAATAATGACGCCAGCGCTGCAGCGGGAGCACGATTCGGAACGAGCGGAAGCGCGGAAATGAGGCCAGCGCTGCAGCGGGAGCACGATTCGGAGGACGCGTAGCCTGAGCATGGCGTGGCGACGCCCCAAAGTGGGGGGGCTTCTGCGACCCCAAGAATCAACGAGTCGACATCGAATGTGTAATCACTTCCGACGGTTTTTTCGGGGGGGGGGGGGGGGACGGCATCTTCCAGATTTTGGGGCCTATATGGAAGGACCGAAAACCATGTCGTGGCATGGCGCTGGAAATAATGACGCCAGCGCTGCAGTGGGAGCACGATTCGGAACGAGCGAAAGCGCGGAAATGAGGCCAGCGCTGCAGCGGGAGCACGATTCGGAACGGACGGTAGCCCGAAAATGAAGCCAGCGCTTCAGCGAGAGCAGCATTTTGGAAAACAACTCACGCGAAAACCCAACTCCCGGGAGTCCTGTGGGTAGAAAACCAGTGCGCGGAGGGGGACCGAACATTCCCGGACGTCAACAGGGGAGAGATGAGCGTAGTATTCGTAATGTGCACTTGTAGAGGAAGAAGGGGTTTGGAAGGGGGGGGGGTCAAAACTACTCACGCCCTAAAGGGCTAGTGGGATTTTAGCCCTCTCCTCTGGGACCGTCAAAATCGCCTCTTGAGACCCTCTGGGGCTCCTCTTGGTCGCTTCTTGGAGGCCTCTTGGGGCGTCTTGGGCGTCTCTTGGCAATCCCGGGAGCCTCTTGAAGCGTCTTGGCTGCCTCTGGGGGGGAGAGGTTCTTGAGGCTTCTTGATGGCCTCTTTGAAACCGCTTGGGAGTCTTTGGAAGCTTCTTGGGTATTCTCGTGGAGCCCCTTGGGCGCCTCTGGGGACCCTCTTGGAAACCCAAGGGGCCCTTTGGGGACCATGAAAGAAAGAGCAGGAGAAACAAGTAGAGAGCCCAGAGAAAGAGAGACAAGTAGAGAGCCGCGTCAGCTGCCATACCAGTTCCTCTGCCCCAGAGCAAAGCAAGGCGCTGGGGCATAAGAGCTTTTCGCTTCAAGCGGCTTAGAATAAGGACGACTTTCGGCTTACGTTTTCGGGTGGCCGAGGCTCGCCGTGGCTAGAAGCGCCCCTTCGTTCCTGATTCGGCGTTCCTCATGGTTGGTGCCGATCTCCCTCCTGGGAAGGGGCTTTCGTCACTGTGGCTCTGGATTCGCCTAGGAATCCTAGTCAGAGCGGGCCCCGAGAGTGGTCCCGCATCCCTCCTCGAAGTCAAACGCAAGTTTTTCCCGCGACGCGGCGGCGCCCCAGGACCCCCAAGTTTCAACGTTTACGCCGAAATTGGCTTGCGACTGCAAGCGCAACCATCTGACTCTGTGTGCCGCGTTTCGCGCGTGGATGAACATCAAAAACTTACGTTTGATTTCGAGGAGGGTTGTGGGAGCGGCGATATCTGTGTCAACTTTGTCGTCCCCCCCAGGATGAGTTCTGCGTGGTGGCGACGCTGTTGCCAGCCCACCAGCCGTCTGTCAGGCTCGCGCTGGCCTCTGTGTGCGGCTGCGGGGCTCAGGTGGAGGATCTGACGAGCGGCTTCGTCGCGCTGTCGGCACGCAAGGCGGTGGCTTCGGCGAGGGCACTGGCGGTGGAAGCGCTCGACGACCTGGTCTGCACAGCACTGCGTCAGGCCATGGACGGGAAGGGCGGCGGCCAGGCGATGCCCCTGCTGGGCTCGCTCCTGGAGAGCTTGGTGCGCCTCCTGCACGACCTCCTGCAGCACCTGGAGCTGCTCGCGGACCACTCGGCCTTCTTCGCGCGCCTCGTCTCGCTCGCGGTGCGGACGCTGGCCGCGCCGTCTCAGGCCTCCGCGCTCCTGTGCGCCTCGCCGCAGGTCACCAGCGCCCTGGGCCAGGACTTCGACGCGGCCACGGGCAGCTCGCCCGCCCAGGAGGCGCGCCCCGTGCAGAGCATGCTTAGGCACGAGACACCCCTGGGATTGGCGCTGGTGCGCGGGCTCACCTCGGTGCTTCGCATCTTCCTGACGCAGGCTGCTCTTGAGAGCGGCGAGGTGCACCGAGGGCAGACCGAGGTGGTCATGGCCGCGCTGCCGCTGCTCTTGCTTTTGGTCCCAGCTCTGCAGCACAGCCCGAAGCCAGCGTGTCCTATGACCGCACTGGCGGCTGCGCCGCAGGCAGCCGAGGGCCCATCCGAGGCGCAGCCAGTGCTCTTGGAGTTGCTGGAGGCCCTGTCTGGGATCGTCGACGTCTTCGGCACCGAAGCGCGCGCCGCGGCGCTGGACGCCGCGGCCGCCGTGCCGCGGGACGTGGCGGAGCCCGGATGGCCGCCGGCGTCAGGTGGGGGTCCACTGGCCGCCGTGCGCTCCGCTGGGCTGCCTGGAGGGTTGTCGCAGCGCAGGGGGCTGGCTGTGCTGCGGTCGCCCGAGGAGGCGGCAGAGCAGGCGGCTGCGCGGACGCAGGCCGCTGTGCTGGACCACGCGGCTGCGAGCGGCCTCGTCGCAACCGCCGTGGCAGTGGTGGAGCGCACTGTGGTGGCGCTCGGGCGGCACGGGCGCCGAGGCCACCACGGGCTCGGCGACCGCACGCTGAGCCTGCTTCAGCGCGGCGTTCTGCCGCAGCTCCTCGGCCGCTCTTCTCCAGTCTTGGCCCCGCTGCCAGAGCACCTGCGGTCGCGAGGCCGGGTCCAGTGGCCTTCCACGGCACGGGCGCCCCTGGACGCTGTGATGAGGCCCGCGGGCTGGGAGCGCGCCTCCGAGGCCGCGCTGGCCTGCGAGCTCGGAGCTGCGCTGGGCGGGCTGCTCGCCGTGGCGCAGACGGCCGGGGGCGCCGTGCTCCTGGCGGAGCACAGGGTATTCGCACTTCTGGCCTGTAGCCCGCTGCTCCAGTCGGCGGCGCTGCCCGCCGACGCCTCGGGCCGCTTCCCGGGCCCCTACTCGGGGCCTGTGGCCGGCGCGGCAAGCCGCGGCTTCGACGGCCCGATGGGCTCCGCAGCGCCGCAGGGCGCGGCGGGCGTGCCGTGGCGGCGGCCGCTGCACACCTGCTGGTGCCAGGCCTTGCTGCTGGTGGCAGCCCTTCTCGCCTCGGCGCCGCAGCTCGGGGGCGAGGCGGTGGTGTTTCTTGAGGCCTTCGCGCCCAGGCTGCGCTTCATCTTCCGCAGCGGCCTCCAGAGCGGGCAAATGGCGGTGCTCGAGGAGGCCTCTGCAGCCTGCCGCGTGCTGGCACTCATGCGCCACAGGTGTGGGGTCGTGGAGTCGATCCTGGCAGACGCCGCGACGCAGGCCTTTGTTTTCATTATCGGGGCCTGCCTCTCTGAGCGTTCGGTCCCCTCGGAGGTCTTCCTGCCGATCTCCGAGGCCGAGCGCGTCGCTGCGAGGGTCGCGCCCGACAGCGAGGCCTCACCTGCAGAGGTGCCATCCGTGTTCCACCAGCGCGTGGAGCGCATCGCGCTCGATTTGGTGAAGAGCTTGCTGGCGGCATTGCTCTTCGCGTCGTCCTCGCCGACGTGGCTGAGCCACGCCGCCGCAGCTGGCGGCAGCGCCTTCGGAATCTCCGCCTTGGCGGCAGTGCCCAGGGGCCAATGGCCGAGCCGCGGGCTGCTGGGCGCCCTCGGCGGCCTGAGTCCGCCAGGCAGAGGCGCAGCTGGGCCAGGCGCGGCGGACTGTGCCGCGGGCCAGCTTCTCTGGTTCGCCGTTATGGACGTCGTGTTGGAGTGCGCACGCCGTGTCGCCGAGATCGCAGAGGCCCTGCGGGGGCCGCGGCGGGCGAGCCTGGTGCTGGTCCGTGCGCCTGGCGCAGACGGCGGCCCGCTGGTGCCGTTCTCCCTCGCGCTGGCGCCGCTGGAGCCCGAGGGCGCCATGGCTGGCGCCGAGGCCAGCCCCTACGCGGGCCCCTCGTCCTCGCCCGGCAGCCTCGCCAAGGGTCTCAAGAGGCAGACGCTGCTGCAGAGCCCCACGGTCGGGCCCATTATGAGCCCGCTGACGACGGCAGGCCTTCTCCTCCTGCTCCTCCTCCTCCTCCTCCTCCTCCTCCATTCCTGTTCCTCATAAGTAACTCCTCCCTGTCGTGGGGTGGGTCGTGTGTTTCGCTTGAGACATACTCACCTTTATGATCTTGAAGCTTCAAAGTTGCGACGTATGCACGGATGGAGAGTGGGTGGTTTTTAACATGTGGCTCTCGTTTTGTTGCAAGAGCTTCACGGACGGAGGGCGGTTGGTTCTAAACAAGCGGTTTTCACGTTACCGCCGCGCGCATTCGTCTCAAACGTTTGCAATGGTTTCATTGATAGAGAACGGGCCGTTTCCAACATGTGTCTCGTTGTAGCGCCGCGCACATTCGATTTTCATGTTGCGAGAGCTTCACGGACGGAGGGTGGTTCTTTTTCAAAGTGTGGTTCTCGTCTGAGCGCCGCGCACATTCGTTTGACAAGTGTTCCAAAGCTTCGCGAATGGAGGGCGTTTCTTTTTTTCAGCATGTGGTTCCCGCCACAGCGCCGCCCACATCCGCTGTACGAGTTTACAAGAGTTTTAAGGATGCTTATGGTCGACGTCCCAGAAAATGGTTTTGTCATGCGATGTAGGACCGCCAGGGCGCAACAGTCATGCTTATTTGCGGCTTCGAAATCTCAGAAACGGCGTTCTGGCACGATTCAGGATGGCCAGGACGCAACGGTACCGTTGATTCACGGCGTTGCAGTCCCAGGAGGTGCTCTGGCGCGGTTCAAGATTTTCGGGCGATTGTCTTCCATCGGGGCACTTGCCGAATTAACAGTAAGTCCTTGTAGAGGGCCGTGGTGAGGAGGGAATCTGGAGGGAGGGTTGATTGCAACATCGTTAGTGGGTCGTCGGTTTACACTGGTCCTCCTCCTCTTCTTCCTCCTCCCGCTCCTCCTCCTCCCTGCTCCTCCTCCCCCTCGTCCTCCTCCTCCTCCCCGCTCCTCCTCCTCCTCCGTAGCCACTTTGGCTCAAGACAGAGTTTACCTTCCGTCCCGACTCCAGAGGCCCGAGGCCGAGGTGGAAGGGCAAGGGTAGCCCCTTCCTCAGGCTTGGCTGCCTCGGCCAGGTTTTCGCGGTCACCCTCAGTCTCTCTGTATTGCGAAGGCCTTACGGCCGGTGCCGCCGACCCTGAGAACGACGAAGATGAAAAACGAGGGGGGGGCAGGGGGAGGAGGATGAGTGGGAGGTGGAGGAAGGGTGGAGGAGGTGGATGAGGGAGAAGGAGGGGGGAGAAGGATGTGGAGGAGAAGCAAGAGGAGGAGAAGGAGGCAGAGGAGAACAGGAGGAGGAGGAGCAGAAGGGGGGGGAGCAGGAGGAGGAGGAGGAGGAAGAGGAGGAGGCCAGAGGCTTTCTTGGGACAGCCTGGGGCTCTCTTGAGGCCGTCTTGGGCCGTCCAGGGCTCCTCTTGCGCCGTCTCGAGGCACTCTTGGATGCCTTCTGGACAATTTGGGGCTCCCCTGGACTGTCTTTGGGCAATCTTGGAGGCTTCTTGGGCCGTTTTGAGCTGACGGAAGCCCGAAGCGAAAATCTTTTAATAACTTAAGGAGATTGCTGATTTTTGTCTTTTCGGGTACTCCAGAGGGTCCTGTTGGAGCCCTCTTGGGCTGTCTTGGGCCATCTTGGCGGACTTGCTGGCCTTCCTAGGCCGTCTTGGATTTCTCCGAAGGCCCCCGTGGGCAAGCTTGGGGCGCTTTTGGTGCGGTCCTGGGCCATTTCAGGCCCCCCTTGCACCGTCTTGATGCCGTTTTGGAGGCGTCTTGGGGCCCTCTTCGGCCGTTAGGGGACCCTCTTGGGGGCCTCTTGGACCGTCTCGGGGCGATCTTGGGGGCCTCTTGGGCCGTCTTGGCGCGTCGGGAAGCGGAAGAGGCAAGAACGCCATCATCTTTCAAACACGTATGGGAAATCCATGAATTTAGCCTCTTGAGGCTCTCATGGGAAAGCTCCTGGAGGCCTCTTGGGGCGCTTTGCAGGCCTCTTGGGCCGTCTGAATGCCGTCAAGGCGTCTTGGACAGATCGTTCGGCGATTCGGTGTTCTCTTGGACTGTCTTTGGGGCCTCTTGGGGCACTCTTGGCCCGTCTTGGGTTTTTTTGGGGCTCCGGGACTCCCACGGGGGGCGTACGAGCCCAGGAAAAGGGGGAGGCAGGGAAAGGGGACGACAGAAACGACGACCCACGACTGACGGAGATGACGACTTGAACGGACAAGCCCCTTACACACGCCGACAGGGTCGGCGGATTACCCTCAGTCTCTCTGTATTCTTGCTGGTCGCCGCAGCGAGCGGCCAGCCAGTCTCCCAGCCGCCATGGGAGACCAGAGCCAGTGGAAGAAATAGTACTGTCAGAAACCAGGCTGCTGGGGATGGACCTGGCAAGGACACGATGGTCACAAACATTGCCCAGAAAGTGATGATTATTTCAAGCACTTTTGTCCAGTCCATCCACGTGCCCCTGCTGATCATTTACGTGCATACGATGGCAGTGCGAACTCACAGCAGCAGCAGGACAAGCGCAATTGTTGGTCCCGAAGCTGCACCAGAGGCTGCGAGACTCCGCCTACTAAGGATGGTCCCAAATCGTTCCCCGTGCAGGAGGTCAATGGCGTCTGCATTTGCATCAGGGCGGTCAAGTTCTGGAGCAAAGCGGTCGGACACGAAGGCAACTAGTACATCCAGGCTTGCGAAGACCTTCGCCTGGTCAAGTCGAGAGCCCTCGAGGGCAAGTCTTTGGACGCCAACACCCAGTCCTTTGCTGATCACCTCCAACGGCAGCGCAGACGTATGGAGTCCAAGAATGGCGAAATCGAGAATCATCTCGTCAACCTTGACAAGGCTGTGGAGGTGTTCGGCAAGTCCGTGGAGTCGTTCTCAGACTTGCAGTCAGAGGTGCAGCAGCTGGAGGCCCAGCACAGCGCGGCGGCCAAGGTTGTGGTGGCAGAGGCAACAGGCCGCTTCAACGGCTCATCCGAGCCAGCCACTTCCTTCAATCTCGTGGATGCCAGGTTCCGAACGGTCTGCCGCCCAGCATCAAGCGGGAGCTCGAGAGTGCCAGCGCGAAACCCAACGAGGCGTGGAAACTTTTGCAGCAACACCTCGAGCAGCAGCCTGACCCCGCAGCTGACACTGCACCGGTGGCTCCTGCTGTGCACGCGTCAGGCCCAACAGGTAGAGATGCTGCAGCAGTTGCAGTGCCTGACGACCAGCCAGGGGAGAGCCTGGACATGCCCGTGGACGCGGACCGCGGCGCCGCCAGGAAGGCCAGCGCCGCGGAGGAATGATAACCTCGTTCTCGCCAGCATCTTCGGCATCCAGGGCCTCGGCGCCGAGGCCGCCCGCCAAGGAGCAGGAGGGGCTCTCCAAGCGCTGGGCCAGGTCTCGCATGCCCGGCGATGCTGGTGCAGCGGCAGCACCAGCTGAGGCGCAGCGTGGGTAACGCACTCACGACGTGCAGTTTGACTTGCAGCAGTTGGTCTGGCATCCGCAAGTTCCTGGTTTCTCCTGCGGCCAAGTCCGTTCAGGTTGTTGGCTGTCAAGGAGCGCGTATCCTAGCTCATGATTTGGCCAAAGACTCAGGTTGGTTTGCTGACAGGGGGGCTAGCAGTTTTGGCTCCAGCTGTTTGGGGCGCCAAGGGGGTTCCATGCCAGGGTGCAGGAGCACTGGTGCGTATGGGCGTAGATCTCGGGATTGCCAAGCTATTCATTCCAGCAGGTGTTCGAGACTCTCGGGCTTGTGTTGTCACCTCACTAGTTCCCAGACATCGACCGCGCCTGGCCGACTCTGTAGGCAGGCGGTTTTCATGCGTGCCCGAACAAGGTGGTCGAAACGGAGTTCCCGACCCGGGCTGGGCGTCAGGTGATCGTACCAAACGCGCGCGTGTTCTATGCTAAGAAGTCTAAGTCTACCATGGACTACTTCCACTGGTCGAACTGTTTCGAGCGCAACCCGAAGCAGCCCGCAGCATTGGTGGACTATCCGAGTAGCCCGCATATGCCAGATCTGATGGGCATGGTTCGGGGCCCGTATATTATCCCTGTTCTGGAACAACCTTAACATTTTCTTGTCCAGGCCCCAGTGGGCCCAGAAAGCATGTGTTCTCCGTTGTGCAGGAGTTCGGGGGCTCTTGGTCTGCTGGGCTCCCTCTTGGAGGATCGGGGCAACTATGCCGTCTCCAGGGGCGCCGCCGAGCCCAGGCCTTTTCAGCCAGTCTCTTTCCAAGCCTTAGTTGCCGCCGCGGGCGCCGCGTGCGGCTGTCCCGTGGACGACGTGTCCACTACTCTCAGCAGCATTGCCGACGCACCGTTGCGGAGTTCGAGGCGACGTGCCCAGGCTCCGACTACTCGGTGGATCCCAGCCAAGGCCGCTGAGGCCAGTGGCAGGAGTAGTTGGAGGAATGCAGCGGCAGCCTTCAGACGGCCACGCGATAAAATCATCGACGTCTGGCGAGGAATGGATTGGACGAACTTCAGCAGGCCCACCTTGGCCTTGCCGTTCCACCAGCCAATGTTAAAGTTGTTGCTGAATTTGAAGCGAAGCGAACCAGTGTTATAACTTGCGCGCAGGCTACCTTCTTAGGCGCCGCTGACAGGGGGGATATTTTCAGTTGATCGCGCAAGTGTTCGAAGGCCTAGACTGAGACCGATAAGGGTCTCGGCCGTGGTATCGCAAAATATAAAGGGGCCCGCTGATCGGCAGTCCTGGAAGCGCCGGGTCAAGGGGGGCGTCGGATGGGCCCGTCGGTCGAGCAGCCGTCTTACTTCGTGGCAACCGTCTCGTGTCTGGAGCCCCGCCAAAGCCCGTTGGCCGGGCCGACCGCCAGACATGCTGGAGGCCGAGCGAAAGCGTTTAAGTGGTCTATGGCTTGCAGGCCCCGCCGAGCGAGACCTCCTGCAAGCGCAGCCGCGAGGTGAAGACCTCGCTGCTGTCACGCCAGATCAGCTTCGTGCAGCCAGCCGGAGCTTCAGTAGCACTGCAGCTGGGACCTGGGCTCCTCAGTGCCATTGGGAAAGTTGGTGCTATCCCGACCCAAATGAGAGTCGTCGTCTTGGCCCTCGTTGAGGAGCGCTAGCCAGGTCTCCACCCTGGTCCAAGCTACACGGGGTATTTGCATGATGTCTGGTTTTCGGAGAGTCCGCGGTAAGCATCGGCAGCTGGAGTTCAAGCTTTGGGAACGAGCTTGGCCTCGTAGATATCTTGCGCACCCAGCTGGGAAGCGAGTTTTAGTCGTCGTTTTCGAGCAACCTATGCACGCTGACGGGTATTTCCTGAGAGAGGAAAAATGTCTCGGCCGCGGCCCCGCGGGGCCCGTCGAAATGTTCCGAGCGAGTCGATGGCCAGCGCCGGAGGGATAGGGCCCAGGGGGTGGATTTCTCGGACGTGCTCGTCGATGTCAGTTGCAACCAGTACCAGGCGCCCAGAGTTGTGGCCGACCGCGCTTCGGCCCGCCCTGCAGGCTGCCCTCGAAGAGGTATCGTTGCAGGTTGTTGGGCTGCCATTTCTGTTGTTCAGCATTTTTTCCGCCCGTTGACATCTGGGTTGCTTGGGGCACAAGCGCGCAGCCGACCATTTTCATGTGCAATTGGATTTTGACCAGCTACAACAACAATCCTAATCCATTGATAGCTTACCTTACCGTGGCCTCAGCTAGTATGCATCAGTCGATCAGCAACAATCTGAAACGTGACACCGCCAAACACGAGGCTGCCGTTGTGGGGCCCACGCCGATGATCAAGGCAGATCTGTCCGCCAAGCTGGACCAGTGGGCGGGGCCCCAAGCCAGCCTGGCCGAACCCGCGGCCACCATTGTAGGAATTGGCTTTGTTGCGGGGGCAAGACCAAGGAGCAAAGGCAGGAAAGCTCTCCGAGGGCGCGCTGCGAAGTTGCGCATGCGCCATTGTCGATTGAGAGCTTTGCGATTTGCAGGAGCAGACGCCGCGCAGATTGGAACGTAGGTCTCCAGCAAAGTGGATTTTTTGGAACTGAGATTCGGCTCAAGTGCCCAGGAGTTCCAGGAAACGCAACGTCTGTCCTTGAAGGTCGTGGGGCCCAAGTGTGTAATTCGTTCAAGGGCTCTGTCGCTTGCTGTCCTCGACGGCCCCGCCTGGAGATCGGCCTTGGGACCTTGTATCTACTGGAGTACGATCGTCTTCCGAGCTGCCCATGACCTTCCGAAATCCGAATTCAGGCTCCCAGGCCTCATGCGTCTGGCATGTGGTATCCGAGAAAAGCCTTCTCCAAGATGGGGTCGCACTGGGGGTCTTTTGGAGCTGCGTATGTAAGTTTACCGTCGGCTGGACGTGGACCGGCCCGATGATGTTCGCCAGCAGGGATGGCGAGGCCTACCTGCCCACGACCACCAAGCCTGCCCTCCCTCGCAGATTGCCGGCGGCAGCGTGGCGGGAGCAGCTGGCCGACCAGGCTGCCATCAAAATAGGAGCTGAAGCAGTCGACCTCTCCCGCGCCAAAGCAGCGCTGGCAGACAGAAAACTGACGAAGCGGGATCGTAGCCTCCAAGTGTGGCACCCGACCCAGTCCATCTGGACCGAGCGCAGGTTGAAGGATTTTGGATATGACGCGGACGCGATATGCATATGTAGAGGCCCCAGGGGCCATCGGCCACGGGCTCCTGGAGCGCCCTTGGCGCGCTGTTCTTCGCGAGGAGTTTCTGGGGGAAGGAGATATTGAAGCCCCGGGAGAGCCCCGAGCCTTCGCTGCCTGCGCTGGTTTTCTTGAGCCCCCGCCATCTAGGGCCCCTAGGCCGCCTGGTGGAAGTTTGGCTGAAGCGGTTGTTTGGCCTCACGATGGCCTTTCGCCTGCCGAAGCTTTTGTTGGCGAGGTTCATGTCGACGGAAACGCGGCCAAACACGGCCACCGGCAGTTTCGTGCCGCTGGCTGGGCGTCTTAAAAGTGTGATCTTCATGGCGAGGTTACCGCGTGCCTCTGTGGCCCAGTAGGCAGGGCCCTCCCGCCAACCTCACCGTCAGCCGCATTCCCAGCGTACCTGGCCATCGGCCAATTTCGAGGAGGGATTCGGATCCATGGTGGTTTCAAGGGCGTGGTAGCCTGCCACAACTCTGAGAAGGCAGCAATCGGGAAACATTTTTTGATGGCCTCGGTTCGATGGCCAACCTTGGCGAAACCCGCCGAGATGGAGGGCTTGAGGTTGTCAAGGCCAAATCACATCAGGATCTAGAGTCTCTTGAGCGTTTCTCTGAGCAGTGGAGCCACGCATATGGCAACGATGCAGCATACATAATTGCCAAGCTTGCAGCGCCCCGCCTGCCCCAGCCTGCGGAAGCCGAGCGAGGCAACCAGAGACTGCTCGACACGAGAATCAAGCGTTTCTTTCGGTATGTGCCGAAGGCCCTTACTTTGTGGCCCGCCATTGCCCCGAGGGTTGGTGGGAAGGGGCTGGGCGCCCCAGTCCAGGTAACCAGCCCCGCAGTAGGTGCGAGGTCTAATGTGGAAGTGTGGTTAGGTGGAGCTAACTCGATGGGGGCTGTTTCGGGCCGTGGGGCTGCCGCGGCCCCTCCCCCGCCCCGTTCGTCTCGGTTGGTGCGCGCCCGTGTCGGGCATCCGTGGACCTGACAGAAAATTCGTTGGCTCTGCTGCCTGTGCCATTCGCGATGCCTGAATGACAGAACTAAGCAAGATCGTGCCAAGGAGCGGTGCCCAGGCAGTGCTGCGGCCCTGGCCAAGCTAGCGCTGCAGCCCAATGACCACCATATCCTAGTTTTCGATCGTTTGGATGACGAGAGTTTTGCGGTTGCATGTTCCCAGTGCGGCAAGTATTCCGAACGCACCTTGAGGGGCCTCCACACGAGTTGCCCCGAGCGTTTTGTGTCCAACTTTTCGAGAGGAGCCTGCGAGCGCCTCCAGGTGGGGAGACGCCCCAAGGCCTCAAGGCCGAGCCCTGTGGGCTTCAAGCCCCCGATTTCGATTACCCAAGTTGCCAGCCAGGCAACCCAGACTAAGGCGCTCGAGTCGCCGTAAGCGAAGTCGACCCTGTCCGAAACCGTGCGATGGTTCTCCTCCTCCTCATCCTCCTCCTCGCCTCCTCCTCCTCCTCCCGCTCCCAGGCCCCAGCCCCGCGGGCGAGGAGGCCAGCAGGAAGGGCGCGGAACCGCAGCGCAGCGTGCAGCAACGTCGGATGGCCCTGCACCCTGGGCGCTGCCTGGGGGGCCAGGTTCGAGGGTGCCCAAACGGTGTTGTGCCCATGCCGCGTGGTGAGTCTGTGGGGATTCGGGGTCACCGCGCGGGTTTGGGACTCGGGTCGTTTTTCGAAGGAGCCTAGGACGACTGGGTCCTCCATGGACCGTGTGGTGGCGGACCGCGCGGCGAGGTCGTTGGGGAGTCCGAGGTCACCACGCGGTTCGTCACCACGTGGTTTGGTGGCCCCGACCAGGTGGCCGACGGCGTGGTGCCGGAGTTCACGTCCCTCGAGGACTTGGCCCAGCTGTGCTGGACCTCGAAGAAGAAACGGCTGCATAAGCATAAACCTTCGGAGCTCCACGCGGACTTCTCGCGTCTGCGCTGGACCCTCCTGGCGCCGCCCCTGGTGCGCTCCACGCGCTGGGGAATGGGGGGCATCAGCGCCCGTCTGAGAAATCCGCGCGGGACTCCGAAGGTTCATGATGCTTGTGCAGTTTTTTCTTGCTTTCAGGACCGTCGTGGAGATGTCGTGCACGCTCATGTGCCACTTCTGCGAGGCCACGCAGTCCGGCGCGGGCTCCGCCGGGGCCGAGCGCTCGGCAGCGCCCGGCGCCTCGGTGCTCCACGGCCTGCTGAGCCTCCTCCACGAGCTCTGTGCCCCGTCGAGCCTCAGGTCTCGAAGAAGAACCGGCTGCAAAAACATGTGTACAGTGGGGGCGCGCATCAAGAAACTCTATACTTTTCGTCGGGGTAATTACCTTGCGTTTCTTCGCTCCGCGCGCTGCGCGGTGACTTCCCACGGCCGTTGAAGGAGCTGCTGCGTTCAGGGTGTTCCGCGTTTCCCCTAAGGTGCACCTCTCCCTCGGGTTTTCAAGGTTGGGTTTCTTGTGATGGTTTCTTGCGGCCGCGCTCGCACTGTATTCCCTGGGCGTCCCAACTCGCACGGAGGGAAGTGGCTCTCAGGGGTCCGGCCCACAACTGCCACGGCAGATGTATACACGCATACATTTTCGGTGGTCCGCGCGGACTTCTTGGATCTGCGCCTGGACCCCCGCCCCTGGCGCGCGATGCGCGCAGAGACGGCGCCAGAGGCGTTACCAGGGGGCCCAGCGCCGCTCCGAGAAATCCGCGCAGGGTTCCAGAAATTTTTGCTCCGCGAAGGGCGCTGGGCGTGAGCCCGGCGACCGCGGAGTATCTGGAGTCCCTCGGCGACTCGCTGCGCTCAGGTCACCGGCTCGGTGCGCTTGAGGGCGAGGTGCCGTCGGCTGCACCGTCGGCAACCCCGTTGGCAGGTGTGGATTTGCTCCCGAGCTGAGGCCCGTAAAAACACTGTCCTCCCCGTTCTCTCCCGCCGCCCCACCTCCCAGGTTCAGTCGGATAGCCCCTCCTGAAGGCAACGGATAAGACGTAGCTCTGAGAGCGGACGAGGAAGAGGGCGAGCGTAGCGGTCGCACACTTTTCGCGTGAACGTTCTCAGAAGGGGACCTAGTTTTCGGCAGGTGCTATTTTTGCGGTGTTCATGATAATGATGTGCTCCAAGATGTCCTAGGTTCTCCCGATTTTCTGTGGTTCCGCACGCGCTCCCTAAACGAGGGCCGCCAGATACTGTGGAAGGAATTCAGGGGACGTGCAACCTGAACCAGCCTTATCCTGCCATTACTATTGGCAGGTTCACATCTGGCTCACGATCTCCAGAATTTTGGGCTCCCGGCTCGCTTGCGTGTTCAGCGCCTCTCCCGAGGCCGCTTTGCAGCCGCCGCGGGGTCAGGATCGACCAGGGGGCAGTCGCGACTGGAAGCAAGCACGCACAGGAATAGTCGATGCGGGCAGGGGCGCGGAGGTGCACAGAGTTTGTGTTCGAGAACTTCACCAGCTGGTTCAAGAGGCTAGACAATAAGGCATCCGCCGCTCGCGAACTCGCGGGGGCCCGTGCGGGATGATAAGGACGAGGCGGGAGGAGGGGAGGAGGAGGAACATGTGGGTGACAAGGACGGGACAAGAGAGCATCGAGGCAGATGACACAGGTGATTTCCAGCCTGCCACGGACAAGCTGTCGGACCTATCGCAAAACAACAACATTGAGCGTTAAGGTTCGAACCCGAACGCATAAGGTTTGCTTCAGACGTGCTCCTCCCCATTGCCCATCCTCTAGGCTGAAAACAGGCTCTACTCGTTTTCAATCCAGCGCGTGGTACTCGAGCTTTGCTCGCGCCGTCTTTTGAAGGACTCCTGGGCCAATCAGAAAGGGCCTACGGTGGCTCAATGGCTTTCGTGAGGCATTTTCGGCAGTTCTTGGCCCTCCAGGGTGGCAAGCGAGTCACTGCCCAAACAGTCCTTGCACTTGGAGGCTCGTATGTCTGTGACGAAGGAATTATGAATGTGTCGGGGTTTCGGCTGGTGCCTGGTTGGTGCTGCCTCGTTGCCGTCTCGGTACCGCCGCGTACGCTGGGTGGGTGTTCCAGGGTGTCGGCTGGTGCCTGGTTGGTCCCGCCTCGTTGCCGCTTCGTGCGATGGGTTGGTGCGTCGGGGTTTCGGCCGTTGTTGGTGCCGCATCGTTGCCGCCTCGTGCGCTGGGTGTTTGTGTCGGGGTATCGGCAGGTGCCTGGTTGGTGCCGCCTCGTTGCCGCCTCGTTGTCGCCTCGTGCACTGGATGTGTGTGTCGGGGTTTCGGCTGGTGCCCGATTGTTGCTGCCTCGTTGCCGTCTCGTTACCGCCTCCTGCGCTGGGTGGACGTGTTGGGATTTTGGCTTGTGCCTGGTTGGTGACTCCTCGTTGCCGTCTCGTTACGGACTCGTGCGCTGGGTGGAGCCTCGTGCGCTGGGTGGACTTGTCGGGGTTTCGGTTTGTGCCTGGTTGGTGCCGCCTCGTTGCGGCTTTGTCGCCGCCTCGGTGCCGCATTTTTTGCCATTTTGGTTGCATCACATATCTTACACAGCCACAATGCAATAACTTACTGTTTGGGATCCACGCTAAGAGCAAATCAACCAGCACATACACATATAACGGCGCACCGGGTCCGGGGGCCCGGGGCCGGGACCTCGACCACAAATGTGCGCCCGGGGGGCCCGGAGGCTCGTCGGGGCTTGCCGGAGGCCTCCCCAGTCAGACAAGACGGCCCAAGAAGCGCCCAAGACGGCCCAAGAAACTTCCAAGAGGCCTCCAAGAGGGCTCCGAGATGCTGAAGATGGCCTCCAGACGTCCAAGGACGCCCCCAAGAGGCCCCAAGAAGCCTCCAACATGCGTCCCAAGAGGGCCCCTCGACGCAAAAATTGGCCCATTCCCTTCGTAAAACGTACATTTTCAACAAAGTTGTCTTTTGGGCTTTCCGACGTTACAGGACGGCCCAAGAGGCGCCCAAGACCGCCCCAAGACGGCCCAAGAAGCTTCCAAGAGGGCCCCAGGACAGCCCAAGAGGGCCCCAAGACGGCCCAAGAGGCGCCCAAGATGGCCCAAGAGGGCCCCAAGACGGGCCCAAGAGGGGGCCCAGAGGGGGACCACGAACCGCAAGCTCGAGCCTTCCGCCCCAAGAGGCCGCCAGGAGGCCCCCAGGAGGCCCCTCAAGAGGCCCCAGGAGACCCCAGACGTCCAAGGACGCCCCCAAGAGGCCCCAAGAAGCCTCCAACATGCGTCCCAAGAGGGCCCCTAGACGCAAAAATTGGCCCATTCCCTTCGTAAAACGTACATTTTCAACAAAGTTGTCTTTTGGGCTTTCCGACGTTACAGGACGGCCCAAGAGGCGCCCAAGACCGCCCCAAGACGGCCCAAGAAGCTTCCAAGAGGGCCCCAGGACAGCCCAAGAGGGCCCCAAGACGGCCCAAGAGGCGCCCAAGATGGCCCAAGAGGGCCCCAAGACGGGCCCAAGAGGGGGCCCAGAGGGGGACCACGAACCGCAAGCTCGAGCCTTCCGCCCCAAGAGGCCGCCAGGAGGCCCCCAGGAGGCCCCTCAAGAGGCCCCAGGAGACCCCAGACGTCCAAGGACGCCCCCAAGACGCCCCAAGAAGCCTCCAACATGCGTCCCAAGAGGGCACCTCGACGCAAAAATTGGCCCATTCCGTTCGTAAAACGTACATTTTCAACCAAGTCGCCTTTTGGGCTTTCCGACGTTACAGGACGGCCCAAGAGGCGCCCAAGACCGCCCCAAGACGGCCCAAGAAACTTCCAAGAGGGCCCCAGGACAGCCCAAGAGGGCCCCAAGACGGCCCAAGAGGCGCCCAAGATGGCCCAAGAGGGCCCCAAGACGGGCCCAAGAGGGGGCCCAGAGGGGGACCACGAACCGCAAGCTCGAGCCTTCCGCCCCAAGAGGCCGCCAGGAGGCCCCCAGGAGGCCCCTCAAGAGGCCCCAGGAGACCCCAGACGTCCAAGGACGCCCCCAAGACGCTTCGCGTCACCAATTTCTTCTCGCAACGATTCCTGGGTCTGTGACTCGACAGAACCTAAGCGCGCGCGAAGCGCGCGCGTGGTTCTAGTATGTATATATGTGTGTACACATGTGTGTGTGTTGCTGTATCCACAAAAGAGTGTCAGGGATTCTTCTTTATTCCCAGAGCAGTGTTTTCGCTCAGGGTGTCTTACTTCTTTTATATAAAGAACTAGGCCTGTGCGCCGCCTGTGCGCCAGTTCGGTCGACGCCGCCCGCCGCCGCACCATTTTGGTCATGTGTTACAGTGTTCGATGCTCTCACTTTGTATTGGTTTTGTGGACGGTGCCATTATAGCTCGTACCACATAGATTGCCCTGCACCGATTGCACCACTCACATTGAAACATCTAGCTTGCACCACATATATCGGCTCACACGGATTGCACTGCATCGTTGCATTACATAGGTTGCACCCCAAAGACCACACAACAGATGACACCACATAGTTTACACCACATGGTTCACACCATATAGTTTGCACCACACACTTCGCACCACATAGCTCACACATATATTTTATACGCTTCGCGTAGCTCCACCACATTCCCCCCCCTCGCCGCCTGATCCGCGGCCCCCGCGCGCGCTCGGCAATTTAGTCGCGGCCGTAGCCCGCCCGCGACCGCCCGCCGCTGGCGCTTCCGCCTGCGGCTGTAAAAAAAAGTAGCCCCACCAGGCGATCCAGAAACGATGCCCAGACGAACAAACATTGGAATAAGAGCTGGGTAAGACGTCATACCCCGAGAGGGGGGGGGATGGATGAAGGATCGGAGGATGAGGAGAAGCAGCAGGGAGGAGGAGGAGGAGGAGGAGGAGGAGGAGGAGGAGGAGGAGGAGGAGGAGGAGGAGGAGGAGGAGGAGGGAGGAGGAGGGGGAGGAGGAGGAGTAGGAAGAGGGGGAGGGGGAGGGGGAGGAGGGAGGAGGATGACTTGGCGGATGAGGAGGAGGAGGTGGAGGAGGAGGAGGAGGGCGAGCAGAGAAGCCAGGAGTCTTTTGGATGCCTCTCGGAGTCTCTTCGGCTGTCTCTTGAGAGCTTCTTGGAGTACGGGTACTCTTGGGGCGTCTTGGAAGCGTCTTGGCTGTCGTGGGAAGCCTTTTGGAGCGTTTTGGGTGCCTCGGGGAAGCCTCTTGGGGGTCTCTTGAGAGCCTTTTAGGGGCATCTTGGGACCTCTTCGGGCCTCCTGGGCACCTCTTGGGGTCCTCTTGGTGCACTCTTGGGGCACTCTTGTGGGCCTTGGGGGCCATCCTGGGGCCATCTAGGAGGACATCAATGAAACAAGCGGGGTTCTTAACTCGCCCCCCTCCCCCAGGAGGCCCAACTGAGGCCAAGACCTAGGCCACGTACATGATGTTTGCCTTCTCGCTGAGACCTTCATGGGCGCTTCGATTGGGCGTGGTTCCTCCCCTCCAGTTGCATGGCAGGGGGTATGCGGGGAGGGACAAACTCCTGCCCGAAGGGGAAGAAAGAGGTTTGAAGAGAACACGCCCCACACCACTCGCGCCCTCAACGGGCTGGTGGGGTTACTCCGCATATAGCATGCACCACATATCTTACACCACTTACCTTGCACCACGTAGATGGCACCACATAGCTTCCATCACATAGCTTGCACCGCGTAGCTTCCACCGCATAGCTTGCACCACACATATTGATTCGCCTCGATTGCACTACACAGCTTCCGCCGCATAGCTTGCACCACACAGCTTGCACCACATACATTGCTCGACCCAGATTGCACCATCTAGCGCACACCACATACATTTGGATTGCATCGCATAACTTGTACCCCGTGGATTGCACCAACTATCTTGGACTACACAGCCTACGCTACACATACTGCCCCGCATAGGTTGCACCACACAGCTTACACCACGGTAGTTGCACCACATAGCTTGCACCACATAGCTCGCACCACAGTTGTTGCTTTGCGTAGCTTGTACCGCTGTAGCTCGTACCACATACACTGTTTGCCTAGACTGCTTCGCCTAAGTTGAACCACAATGCTTACGCAGCACAGATCGCGTCACATGCACCGCGCCACATACACTGTACGACATAGCCCACAACCCATAGTTCGCACCACACATGTGGCACCACATAGCTTACGCCACATAGCTCACACCACATATAGTATATGAGTACGTGAACGCCTACCACACAAATTGCACCACATACTTTGCACCACATAGCTCACATCACATAGGCAGCACCACATAGCACATAGCATGCACCGCATAGCTTACACCATATAGCTTCAATTACGTAGATTGTACAACGACTCCCGCCACATAGCTTGCACCACAGATATTGCATCACTCAGTCTGCTAGAGCACACTGTTTAGGGACCACGATGGGTCAGCTTTGCTAAATACAAGAATTTTTCTGCGTTTCTGACATTTCCCCTGGTGGCTGCCCACTGCCTCCTCGTGGCGCAGCAGCCGCCAATGCAGTCCCTGGGGGGGGGGTCGCTCTTCCCTCCTCTCCCCTCCTCCCTTTCTCTGACGTTGCGCCAAGTCAAGCCAACGTGCTGCAGTGTTCGATGGAAAAAATATGAAATGCGAGGCCGACTTTCGTAGGCATAGTGACGAACAAGTTAAGCAGACGGCGCGTGCAGAACAGGACGTGCAAGCAGAGAAAGAAAGAGGATAGCCCTCCCCTACTTCCCCTTCTCCTCCTCCCCGTCCGCATTCTCACCGTCCCTCTCACTTGGCTTCGGGTGCCGCCTGAGTGCATTGGAGACTGGCCATGAGCTAGCCTTCGTGCCGTGTGCCAGGAGAGACCCACATCATCGGCTTTGAGCGAGGGGTGGCGACAGACAAGCATGCGTCCTGATCCGATAGGCACCCATCCTCATGCCGTGGCACTTCGTGTGCGAAGTCGCCCGCGCTTTTTTTTGTAATCTGCTTCACTTTGTAATCTGAGGCGAGCTTCGACCGTCTTCTGGACATCAAGGGCAAGTTCCATCAGCTCCTCACCGGCCTTTCGCACATCCACAATCGGGAGGGCCTGTCTCAAGTGGGAGTTTCTTGCACACCGGGCAGGCGCAGTGGAATGGCAATAGTATCAGAAATTGTGCATGGCGATCATGGGAGGGAGGACGATGCCGAAGTCCTGGGGCAGGAGAGGAGGCAACGGGCGGGGGGGGGGGCGTCAGTGACAACAGGCCGACATGCAGAGGCATTGTAGTGGCCTCCGGCCAGTGCCGCCGATCCGGGACTCTCCATGATGATGATGATGATGATGATGATGATGATGATGATGATGATGATGATGATGATGATGATGATGATGATGATGATGATGATGATGATGATGATGATGATGATGATGATGATGATGATGATACTGATGATGATGATGCTGATGATGATTATGATGATGATGATGCTGATGATGGTGATGATGGTGATGATGTTGATGCTGATGCTGATGCTGATGCTGATGCTGATGCCGATGCTGATGCTAATGATGATGATGATGATGATGATGATGATGATGATGATGATGATGATGATGATGATGATGATGATGATGATGATGGTGATGTGACGATGGTGATGGTGATGGTGATGGTGATGGAGATGGTGATGATCCGGCCCTCCCCTCCCCACCTCCCCTCCTCTCTCCTGTCCTCCTCCCCCTCTCTCCTGTCTCTTCCCCCCCCCTCTCTCATTTCCCTCCCCCCCCCCCCTCCTGATCCGCCACCCCCCCCCTCTCTCCTGTCCACCTCCCCTCCCTCTCCCTCCCCCCCTCTCTCCTGTGTCAATTCTTTCGTCGTTGGCGTCCCCCCCCCCCTTGCAGAGCGAAGCTTGAGCGAGCCCCCCCCTCTCTCCTTTCCCCCCCCCTCGCGTGTCAATTCTTTCGTTGGTTTTCGTCGTTTGCGTTCCCCCCCCCCCCCTCCAGAGCGAAGCTTGAGCGAGCTCAAGCCCACGCTCTCAGAAACTCACACGCCGGATCAGCGGATACGCGCAGCAGAGTGGGAGAGAACGAGAGAGAGAGCGAGAGAGAGGCAGAACAAACATCCACCAAGAAGCACGGGAACATCCAGAAGGGAAGCAGGCCGATGCCGTTGACCAGGGGCAGAAAGATAAGGATGGAGAGGAGCAGGGACAGAAGTTTGAAGCAATGCAGGAATAGATGACACCGGGCTGAGGGCTAAGTCGATTCGATCATATCTAGTTCGGAACAGCAGATGTGGAGGGCCCCTCCCTCCCTGCCTCCTCCTTCTCCCTTCTCCTGCTGGGCAGGGGATCATGCACCGCAACCTGAAGCCCGACAACGTCTTTATAGACGAGCACGGGCTGGCGAGCTCCACTGCCCCTCCAGGGAGGGAGGAGGGGGAGCCGCAGGAGGAGGCAGGAGGGTCGTCCTCCTTGTCCTCTCCTCGTTCCTTCGTCGTCCTCCTCTTCCTCTTTGTTGTTCCATGCTGCGCTGCCATCCTGCATTGGCATCATCCCAGGCCACACGTTGAGACAGAGTCTCGTCGTCGTCGTCGTCGTCGTCATCAAGATCATTTCCTGCCAATACCTCATAAGGCTTTCCTCCCGCCGTCCCCCCGCCCCCTCAGGGCGGGGGAGGGAAGAGGAGAAGGAGAAGGATGCTGATGATGATGCTGAGTGGTGATGATGCTGATGATGATGATGCTGATGATGATGATGCTGATAATGATGCTGATGATACTGATGATGATGATTATGGTGATGCTGATTATGATAGCGATGTTGGTGATGCTGGTGATGCTAGTGATGATGCTGATGACGATGATGAGGATGATGATGATGCTGGTGATGATGATGATGATGATGATGATGATGATGATGATGTTGATGATAATGCTGATGATGATGCTGCTGCTGATGCCGATTATGCTGATGCTGATGCTGCTGCTGCTGCTGATGATGATGATGATGATGATGATGATGATGATGATGCGGATGCGGATGCGGATGCGGATGCTGAGGCTGAGGCTGAGGCTGAGGCTGATGCTGTTGCAGATGATGATGACAATGTGGTGGTGGTGATGATGGTGGTAAGAGTGATGATGATGGTGATGAGGATGGTGATGATGATGAGGAGGATGATGAGGAGGATGGTGATGGTGGTGGTGGTGATGGTGGTGGTGATGCTGGTGATGATGATGTGATGACGACGAGGCGGAGGAGGAGGAGGAGGAGGAGGCGGAAGAGGAGGCAGAGGAGGAGGAGGAGGAGGAGGAGGAGGAGGAGGAGGAGGAGGAGGAGGAGGAGGGGGGAAAAGGGCGAGGAGGATGAGGAGGAAGAGGAGGCGGAGGAGGAGGAGGAGGAGAAGGAGGGGGAGAGGCTGAGAATGAGGATGAGGATTAGGGCGAGGATGAGGATGATGAGGATGCTGATGATGCTGAAGATTATAATGATGATGATGACGAAACAGATGCTGATTCTGATGCTGTCGTTGCTGATGCTTATGTTGACACTGCTGATGAGGATGATGATGTTGAGTATGATTACGATTATGATTGTGATCATGCTGATGGTGCTGATGATGATGTTGATGATGATGACGAGGAGGAGGAGGACGAGGAGGAGGAGGAGGAGGCGGATAGGAATCATATGAAGATTAAAAGTCTGAATGCTAAGACTACGAATGGTGATAGTCATCGTAATGATACGAAGAGGGATGATATTAGTGATACGAGAAAAACGAATACTATTGATGATACTTGTATTACGAATGCGAATACCAGCACTGACAATACTACCAAAGATGATCGTATTACCAATAAGGCGAATGCCACCATCAATAATAACAGCAATACTCAGACGAAAACTAGAAATACGATTACTAATGCTACTACTACTGAGATGGATCACAATATCGAAACGACTCATACTAGGCATACGACGAATACTACTATGATTGTTAAGAGTGATAAGCATACCACTAATGCGAACCCATAAATTATTGAGAACAGAGGAGGAGGAGGAGAAGGAGGAGGAGGAGCAGGAGGAGGAGGAGGAGGAGGAGGAGGAGGAGGAGGACGAGGAGGACGAGGAGGAGGCGGAGGAGGAGGAGGAGGAGGAGGAGGGGGGGGGAGGAGAGTTAAGAAGGACTTATGATGCGTTGGTTGTTTCTTTCAGGGCTCTCAGGGGCTTTCGGGGGACCCCCTGCCCAGAAGCCGGCGGCCACCAACTCGCGCTGGGGCCCCGGCCAGTAACACCCACGGAGCTTCAGACCGATGCCTGCGCGCTCTGGCAGGACCAGGCCTGGAGACCGCCAGAAGCGGGCCAGGCCGGTCGGGGCTCGGGCAGCGCAGGGGCGGCAACGCACGCGGGGGGGTCGAGGGCATTGCAGGGAAGTGGCCCTCACATGGCCCTGAACGGCCCCTGCACTGCCGCCGCGGGCCCAAGAGGTGCGCGAACGGTGCGCGTCTCACAGGGAGGCGAGGTTTTTGCTGCTCGGTCCAGGAGACAGCGACGGCATCAGCAGCATAGATCTTAATTCTTTACGCTTCGCGTATCCCCACCAGCCCATCTCACAGCAGCAACTCTTGCGAAGCATGCCGACGGTCGGGGCTCGGGCAGCGCAGGGGCGGCAACGCACGCGGGGGGGTCGAGGGCATTGCAGGGAAGTGGCCCTCACATGGCCCTGAACGGCCCCTGCACTGCCGCCGCGGGCCCAAGAGGTGCGCGAACGGTGCGCGTCTCACAGGGAGGCGAGGTTTTTGCTGCTCGGTCCAGGAGACAGCGAAGGCATCAGCAGCAGAGATCTTAATTCTCCTGCACAGGGTGTCTAGAGCTCCGACGACTTTATTTCGGCACGGCACCCCTTCCATCACCCACCCGTTTCACCAGCAAGCTCGCCCCCGGCGCGCCCCCATCTCCCCCGCCCCATGCCCCCACCCACCAGCCAGCGCGCCCCCTCCGCCCCGACCTTTTTATTTTGGCACGGCAGCCTCCCCCCCACCCCACGCGCCCCCTCCGCATCCCCCCCACCCACCAGCCAGCGCGCCCCCTCCGCCCCGACCCTTTGAAAAAAGCACGGCAGCCCACCCCGCCCACCCAGACCACCATCCCCCCACCCACCAGCCAGCGCGCGCCTTCCGCCTCGACCCTTTAATTTCGGCATTGCCCCCCCATCCTGCATGCCTCTTCCGCATCCCCCCCGCCCACCACCAGCCAGCGCGCCCCATCCGCCCCGACCCCTTTCATTTCGGCACGGGCGGCGCCCCCGCCCCCATCCCGCGCGCCCCTTCCGCGTCGCCCCCGCCCACCATCCGGCGCGCCCCCTCCGCCCCGACTCTTTCATTTCGGCACAGTCCCCCCCCCATCCCGCGCGCCCTCCCCCCGCGCCCCCCCCGCCCGCCAGCGCCCCCCACCCACCAGCCGGCGCGCCCACTCCGCCCCGACCTTTTCATTTCGGCACGCTCCCCTCCTTCCGCGCGCCCCCCTCCGCGCATCCCCCCCCCGCCTACCAGCCAAGCCGCACCCCCTCCGCCCCGACCCTTCTATTTCAGCGCGGCGCCCCCCCCATCCGCGCGCCCCCTCCGCATTCCCCCCCCGCCCACCATCCAGCGTGCCCCCTCCGCCCCGACCCGTTTATGTCGACAAGCCCCCCCCCCACACACCACCCACGCCACCACCCCCCGCCCACCAGCCAACGCGCCCCCTCCGCCCCGACGTTTTTATTTCGGCACGCCTCCACCCCATCCCGCGCTCCTTCTCCGCATCCTCTCGCCCACTATATATATACAGATAAATAAATATATAAATAAATGGCACGCCCCACCCCCCGCATCCATGCCGCCATCCCCCCCACTGCGCCAGCCAGCGCGCCCCCTCCGCCCCGATTCTTTTAATATTTCGGCACGCCCCCACCCTCCCACGCGCGCCCTCCGCGCCCCGCCCGCCCGCCAGCCAGCGCGCCCCCTCCGCCCCGACCATTTCATTCGGCACGGCACCCTGCCCCCCCATCCCGCGCGCCCCGTCCGCATCCCCCCCGCCCGCCAGCCAGCGCGCCCCCTCAGCCCAGACTTTTTTCCCAACCATCCTGTGGTGTTGGGTCCTCGTTTTGAAGAGACGGCGCCCAGCGTTCCTCTCCTTCCTTCCTTCCTTCCCGCCCTCCTCCCCCTCCTCCCTCCTCCCCCTCCTTGCCTCTGCTCTCGGCACACCTCTCACACGTTTCGTAGCCCCATAGGGAGCTTCACCGAAGGCTCCAGTGGGGGTGTCCACATGCGGTTCCCCCACCCAGGGCAGCGTTTCGTAGCCCCATAGGGAGCTCCACCGAAGGCCCCAGTGGGGGTGTCCACATGCGGTTCCCCCACCCAGGGCAGCGTTTCGTAGCCCCATAGGGAGCTCCACCGAAGGCCCCAGTGGGGGTGTCCACATGCGGTTCCCCCACCCAGGGCAGCGTTTCGTGGCCCCATAGGGAGCTCCACCGAAGGCCCCAGTGGGGGTGTCCACATGCGGTTCCCCCACCCAGGGCAGCGTTTCGTAGCCCCATAGGGAGCTCCACCGAAGGCCCCAGTGGGGGTGTCCACATGCGGTTCCCCCACCCAGGGCAGCGTTTTTCGTAGCCCCATAGGGAGCTCCACCGAAGGCCCCAGTGGGGGTGTCCACATGCGGTTCCCCCACCCAGGGCAGCGTTTCGTAGCCCCATAGGGAGCTCCACCGAAGGCCCCAGTGGGGGTGTTCGCATGCGGTTCCCCCACCCTGGGCAGCGTTTCGTGGCCCCATAGGGAGCTCCACCGAAGGCCCCAGTGGGGGTGTTCGCATGCGGTTCACCCACCCAGGGCAGCGTTTCGTAGCCCCATAGGGAGCTCCACCGAAGGCCCCAGTGGGGGTGTTCGCATGCGGTTCCCCCACCCAGGGCAGCGTTTCGTAGCCCCATAGGGAGCTCCACCGAAGGCCCCAGTGGGGGTGTTCGCATGCGGTTCCCCCACCCAGGGCAGCGTTTCGTGGCCCCATAGGGAGCTCCACCGAAGGCCCCAGTGGGGGTGTTCGCATGCGGTTCCCCCACCCAGGGCAGCGTTTCGTAGCCCCATAGGGGCTCCACCGAAGGCCTCAGTGGGGGTGTTCGCATGCGGTTCCCCCACCCAGGGCAGCGTTTCGTGGCCCCATAGGGAGCTCCACCGAAGGCCCCAGTGGGGGTGTCCACATGCGGTTCCCCCACCCAGGGCAGCGTTTCGTAGCCCCATAGGGAGCTCCACCGAAGGCCCCAGTGGGGGTGTCCGCATGCGGTTCCCCCACACCCAGGGCAGCGTTTCGTAGCCCCATAGGGAGCTCCACCGAAGGCCCCAGTGGGGGTGTCCACATGCGGTTCCCCCACC